GGGTGAACCTGAACATTTTTCTAATTTTATTTTTTTATTAAAATTTTATTATTTTCTACAAAAAATGACACTAGGCCTCAGGTGGGTTTGGCTTTGAGTGAGTCTTGAGTGGGCCTTGAGTAAGTCGATGGCTCGGGTCACAGGCCGAGCTTCAAAATGACGAATTAGGCTCGAGCTTAGGATCTTGAACTGGGTCAGGCTCGGGCCTAACCGGGCTTGGCCCATCTCGAACTACAAGTGGGTTTTGAACAGTTCACAAGCTGCGGACCGTTTTTACATCCCTAATTACAATCATACCGATACGGTATCAAAACCATGCGGTCTTATATTTCTTTGAAGGGGACATAATCCTCTCCTCTACTCTCTCTGATGATGTGATCAAATTGAATAATATCATATACATTAATTGATATATTAATTAATATATTAATAAATTATGTAATATAATTTTAAAGGTTTTAAATTTTTATAATTTATATAATAAGTGAGATTATAATTTTAAAATGATAATGTGAGAATATATGTTGGAATATATTGCTACGTAATATAATTTTAAAGGTTTTAAATTTTTATAATTTTTATAATAAGTGATATTATAATTTTAGAATGATAATATGTTAATATATGGGGGAATATATTGCTATGGAATATCAAATTTGTTTGTTGCGTACAATGCCATCTATCTATACTATATATTAAGTAAGAGGGAGTTTTTAACCCCCAAGCTTTGTGAAAGTTCCAATCTCTCAATCCTAATTTGTTAATTTTTTGATTTAAAAAAAAAAATCCTCAACATTTATTGACTTGGTCAAAATTTCCTAATTAACATTTATTAACTTTTTCCAATCTACATGTCTTTCTACATGCTTACCATTATTGATTTGGTCAACATCCCCTTATCAGCATTTAAAATTCCCTCATACAAATAATTATAGATACAACCCGTGCATAGTTACTGCAGTACCATTTACTTCTCCTATACACTATGATTAGTGATAAGATTGTTAAATTATTTTTATAAAAAATCTTAAAAAAACTCTATCCATCTATCTATACTATATATTAAGTAAAAGGGGTTTTTAACCCCCAAAGCCTGTAGGAGCTCCAATATCCCAATCTAAATTTTCTAAATTTTTTATTTAAAAAAAAAATCAGCATTTATTGATTTGGTCAAAATCTACTGATCAACATTTATTAATTTTTTTCAATCCATATGTTTTTCCACATGCCTGCAATTATTGATTTGGTTAAAATCCTCTGATCAGCATTTAAAATCCCCTCATACAAATAATTATAGATACAACTTGTGCATAGTTATTACAGTAGCCTTTTTAACTTCTCTCATACACTATGGTTAGTGATAAAATTGTTAAATTATTTTTATAAAAAATCTTAAAAAACATAATTAATATATTAAAGAAATCTAAAACAAAAATAAATATATGATTAGTGATAAGATTGTTAAATTGTTTTTATAAAAAATCTTAAAAAAACATCTATCTATCTATCTATATCCACGCTATATATTAAGCAAAAGTGAGTTTTTAACCCCAAAGGCCTGTGGGAGCTTTAAAATGCCAATCCTAATTTTTTAATTTTTTGTTTTTTTAAAAAAAAAATTAACCTCAGCATATTTATTAACTTTTCTCAACCCACAAGACTTTTTGACTTCTCTTATAATTACTGCAGTACCTTTTTCAAAACAAATAATTTGTATATTCAAAAAAATTTAAAACAAATATAAATATAAATATCTATATCTATATTTATCTATTTATTTATATCTATCTCTAACCCACAAATTTTGTGGGAGTTCCAATATCTGAACCTTAATTTCTTAATTTTTTTAATTTTTTTTGAAAAAAAAAACTTAGCACTTATTAAAATCTTCCAAATCTTTTTAACTTCTCAAATACACACACTATTTTTAACTTTTCACATACCTATTGCAAACAGTGAGTCTCCTTTTTGTTTTCTCCTTCTTGACTTCTCACTTCTACACTTTCAACTTCAGTGACCACGTATGCAAACAGTAAAGTCTTTTTTTTGTTTTCTCCTTCTTGACTTTTCCTTTTGTTTACTGTTTTAATATTTTAGTTAGATAGCGCATAAAAATATTTGTGATTTGTCTAGCGAATAAAAAATTATAATTTGATTTTTTAATATGATTGAAGTTAGATAAATATCAGAGCTTAATTAGGTCAAAACAAAGACCTAAACATGCTGAGATGAGGGCTCAAATACCTAGGCATGCAAGCATACATGCTAAGCCATAAAACTGGGCAACAAATGCACATCCCTGAGAGGCACTCAAAGGGTGAATGAAGTGACAACATGGCAAGTCTATATGCTCTGAAATGTCATGTTAAGTAATGCCAAATCATGTAAACAACACAAATGAAGCATGCAATGGTGCTCAAAGCTTGAAGCAAGCAAGGGCACTTGTACTACAACTATACAAAACATGAAGCATGTGACCAAGGCAACCCAAAACAGTCCTAGAACATGTTAAAATGAGTCTAAAACATGCATGGAAAGAAGCCCAAAACAAGCTAGCATGAAGGGCATAAGGCATGATATA